TGTTTTTGACCGATTGTATGATCATGTTGTTGCAAGGAGACTCATTTATCCCGTGGATGCACGTAGGCGATATTGCCGACGGATTCATCCAAACCGTTTTTGGCCCTTCATATAATGGCAGGTTGAGTACCATTAGAGGTTAATAAACTTGATCAAGTTGAACAACGAGGATAGTCGACAGTCTACCGACAGTTGTCTTGGGTGAAAGTTCCATATCATCATATCATAGTGGTATCTATTTGGGCCAATCGAAAGTTTCACCTTTTTTTCTAGTTTTATAAAATTTATTTCGTCTCATAATTAAAACATAAAATTTGCCTACGAAAATAAAAGCAAGATTAACTTTTTACAATTAAATTTAGGCCATAGGAGCCAAAGCTGGCTCATTTACCCTATTCTGAACCTGATTTTACATGCTTTCAAACCGATTCTTAAAAATAAGAATAAATGACTAGATATTATATTCCTTGCTTTAAAGCTGCTCGTTCTTTTAAAGGTGCTGTTCATTAACTGCGTATACAATTTAGGGGAGGGTGTGGTATGTTCAGCATAAGGAAGTTTGACATCGAGACGTTTGTCCGAAAAATGTGCATTAATTTGTATCAAAGTATTGCAGACATGGAAGCTTTTTTTTTCAAATTATTTAAAAGGAATTAAAAGAATTCAAAGAAATTCTTAAGCTTTCCTGAGCGTAGGGACCATGCAATAATTACGAAAGATAAAAAAAAATACATTTACATACGTTTCCGTACAGGGGAGCCAAAGAATATCAGAAATACCTTAAGAAATCATGAAGTGTTGTTCGATATTAGATCTTACTAGGAAGGAGCTTGGATAGCCACATCTTGCGTAATAAGTGCATGGTCCCTTATGTGAAGTTTTGAGGTTTCTTGGATTTTCTTGATAGCTTCTAGACGTAGTGATGTTTTCGATATTTTCAACACATAGATAATTCTCTAGATCAATGGTGGCCGAAGTGGTGCCTAGATCTCTATGATAACTATTTCACTGTGCTTTTAAAGACTTCCAGAAAAGAAGAAACTTGATATAAGGTAGCGCACTACATCGGCATAAGCGTCCATTAACGTCATATTGAGCAGAAACATAACAATATCAATGATTTCAATGTGAATGAACCAATCATACGTTTCTTACGACAGTTTAGTTCAAAAGCAACAAAACAAGGTCCATAAAAACACATAATATGAGCATTTACATCCGTTCTTCCCGAATTAAAAATAAACGCTCCTAGCGAATCCATTTTTCCGCCTTCATCCGTATGGCGAAGTGAATCCAATGACGTTTCAATGTGTTTGGACGGAATTGAAACTCGTATGATGGAAACAGTGTTAGAATTTTAAAAATATCTCAACAATTTGCGGCGCCGGTGGTGTAGTGGTAAGCGTGATTGCCTCTCACCCCAGCAGGCCTGGGTTCAATCCCAGTCGGCGCCGCCGGGATGTTCTGAGGCATAACATCTCTGATCACGCCTTCCTTCGGAAGAGAAGTAAAGCCGTTGGTTCCCGGTTCATGAGTTGATGAGTCGATAGGTAGAGTCCAGGTGTGGGAACTGCCTCCTTGCCGTGCTCAGCACGGAAAACAAATCAAGCAAAAAATAAATCTTTGATTCCATTTGTTTCCATTATTTGTTCAAACCCGTTAGAAGAAGAATTTTTTGTATTTTATTTCATTTTCCGTCGATCTTGTTTTCCGTACTGAAAATCAATGCTACCGACGCCAGGGAGGCAGTTTCCACACCTAGACCCTAACTCCCAACCCATCAACTATATCTTCTTCTTTGGCTTTATTACGTAAAATTTGGCCTACTGGAAATTTACGCTGGTTCTCAACTTAGTGTTCTTTGAACACTTCCGCAGTTGTTAATTGAGAGATTTCAAAGTCTGTGTGGCATGTACAATTATACGCTTTGTCCAGGGAAGTTGAGAAATTTATCATCCCGAAAAATGCCTACACCGGACCGTGAATCGAACCCAGAAAACTACAAAAAGGTCTTGCTTTATACCTGTGCTTATTTCGACTAACCTAAGGGGAGAGCCCAGAGATTTTAAAGGCAAACAAAATTAAAAGTAGAAGAAGCTGTTGAACTGAGTTAATAAATATTAATAAAAAAAATGCTGTTATGAAAATATTGATTAGTTTTACAAAATATCATCCTATTTTATTTTACATTTACAATTTTACCAAAGACATCATATCAAGAAGACTGGCTTAGAGCATGTGTGAACGTCAATCAAACAGGGCGATCGTACCCGACCGTATACGCGAGCGTGACCTCATCGAAACCCAATTGTCAATCGGTTTTCTCTGTTCTGGATACCACTAAAGCAACCGATGAAGTTATTGTGTTTGGTGCCTTCAATCTCCCTGGGATTTCATGGAAAAAAATTTCGTAACTGCTTCCTCTATCCTGATATGGATCACTCTGTCATCTATGTCAGAACAACCGCAGTTTGGATCTTTGTTTTGTAACCTTTCAGGACATAGCTCCTTTCTTATGCGAGGCGCCCACTTCTCTGGTGAGACTGAATCGGCACTACCCGCCGCTACTGGTGACGTTAAGTACTAACCTGATGCATGATTTTAATACTTCACCTGCCACCTTTTCCTACGATTTTCGCAACGCCGACCATGGTAGTTGTTGTAGTCATTGGACACCGTTGACATTGAGTCCACCGCTCAAACTATTTCCAATGTCTTGGCATATGTCATTGACAGACACGTTCCAAAAAGATTCATCATCATACGACCCATCCACCATGGCATACGAGTGAATTTTGTCGACTGAAATCCAGAAAGAGAGCAGCTCTTAGGAAACTCACCAAGCATCACTATTCCTTCAACGTCACTATGTCAGGATCAATCACGAATACAAACGAGTTGCGAAACGGTGCTGTCTTCAGTATCGACGTGGATTGCAGAGAAAGCTTAAGTCACGCCCCAAGCAGTTTTGGAAGTTTGTCAACGAACAACGTCATGAAGCTGGTCTTCCGTCGTCTATGATACATAATGGTAACGTGGCCTGATCAACGCAAGATATTTGTCAGCTGTTCTCTGAAAAATTTGCTAGTGTCTTCACGGACAAGAGATTGAGTGACGCCATGAGCAGAATGGACATAAGTCCCGAGATGTTTTCCGGCTTCCTTGAAACTCAATTCGTCGTACAATCCGGGTTCTGACGGAGTTCCATCGGTTTTTCTCAAAACGCACTTGGACAGTTTGTTGTCTCCACTGTTGCACGTTTTTCAACGGTCCGTTGGCGTCAGCGTTTTCCTATCCTGTTCCTGTCCTAGCGCACATGTTTTCAGTATACAAGAAGAGCAACAAACAGGACGTTGGCAACTACCGTGGCATCACATCGCTTAGCGCTGTTGCTAAATTGTTCGAACTCGTTGTTATGGAACCGTTACTCGCTCACTGTAAGCCGTATATTAGTATCGACCAGCATGGTTTCATGACTGGTCGCTCCACTGCCACTAACTTGCCGTGCCTTACTTCCTACATCGCTAACAGTATGCTGGATCGTGCTCAGATGGATGTCATTTATATTTACTGACTTACCTGCAGTCTTCGATAAATTGAATCACCGCATATCTATCGCAAAACTGGACAGGCTGATCGCTAATTTACTGTTGTCATTGGTGATCACTAGTTCCGTATGTTCGCTGCCACGTCCGGCATACCCCAGGGTAGTCACCTAGGACTAATTTTCCTGATTTACTTCAACGACGCGAATCTAGTAATTGAGGGACCACAATTAACTTACTCAGATGACCCTACACTCTTCCTTCGAATTAACTCAATGTTGCTTCCTTCAACGTCAGTTGAATGCTTTTGGTGATTGGTGTATTCTCAATTATATGGACCCGTCCAAATAATCGGTTATCTCTTTGTCGCGCAAGAAATAGACTTTTATGTTCAAGTATGTTTTGTTTGACATTTAAATTAAGCGTGTCAGCCAAATTAAGGGCCTAGGTGTGATTCTGGGTACATAACTCTCTTTCAAGCAGCACATCTCGTATGCCGTCGACAAAGCTTCCAGAATTCTACAGTTTTTCTTTAGGATTGCCAAAGACTTCACGGATATCTACTGCTTCAAATCGTTGTACTGCTCATTGTCTCGCTCCATATTAGAATACTGCTCGGTTGTCTGGACTCCTCACTACAACAACGGTATCGAAAGAGTTGAGTCTGTTCAGCGACGGTTCTTGAGATATGCGCTACGTAAACTGCCGTGGACGGATCCCTTCTAATGAGCAAATACACAAACCTGAGGTTGGAATCTATGCTATCAAATGTTATTGACCAACAGATGACGCCATAGTGTCTATCTCATAGTGTCAGTCTTGTTGACATGTTGTCTTCGATTTTACTGACGATATGCATCAAACTAATTTGTGTTTAATTGCTGTGTTTCAAATGTTTTTTGGACTGTACGTCCATTCGGCTAAACGTCTTTGTGCCAAACGTCCATTCGTTCAATCGTTCATATTCCAGTTTAATCATCCATATACGGATATCATCGATTGTCTACACTTTTGTTTAAAACTTCACCAAAACAGTCTACATATTTAGTTTATGAGCAGCCCTAAATTTGTTTCTCATATGACTTTGCATCAATGTAGAACTTTGATATTACTTTATAAATGAATGTAATCATTATAGAAAACTATATAATTCCTTCTTCTCTTCTCCTTCTGACCTTTTGTCCCAAACGGCCTCATGAGATTCTGTCCAATCGTCATTTTGTGTTTCGACTTTATCGTCATCTGTCCTTTCGATCTTTTGTTATAGATTCCATTATCCAGATTCCAGAGTTTATTTTCTATGTGAATAAAAACGGAAACGTTTGTTGCCTAAAGGGGAGCACTACTTTATTATAGACAACATTTATGCAAACGCTACTACATTTACTTTTATTGTTCAGAATATAATTTTACATATCAAGAGTTATTACTTTTCTTTTTCTTCCTTTTTTACAGGTGCTAAATTAAAGTGTGATACTCGGAAACCACAAGTAAATTCCTGGATAAGTCCGATTAGTTGGACTAAATGTACAACAAACTAAATAGCAACATCTATGTTGTTCTTGTACTTCCAACATACGGATTGATAAGCACAAGTGACGCGTGCATCTCACAAAAGCAGAATAAAAAATATACAAGCCTGAAAGCAGACAAAAAGTGAATGAAAGTATAGAAAACGCTTTACGGTGTGTAAAATAAGGTGAACAGTACCAGAAAATTCATCTCGTTCCCTGCTCATACTTTTGGAACGCGTGCTCTTCTCAACATTTCCGGAAGGAATAATAGAAAACGTACACAGCAACTTTGCGTACAGGCCAATGGAAAGTGTTTTCATACTCATACCTTTAGTGCTAAGCAGCATTCAAGCTCGGAACAGAATAGGATAAAAAATATCAAAACATTTCCCATACAATCAAATAAAATCACTTTACACACCTCTCTTTATAAGCGGAGTAATAACATCACATACCACGCGGCGTAGTTCCTTCTGGCCTGACAGTCAGCGTCGGCATCAACAGACGACGGCAGTTGGAAGCTTGCTTGCTGCTCTCACAGGAGACACGCGCCTCGTTCGCTGCCGCTAAACCAAGCTGCAAGTCTAGCGAGAAGTGAAATCACCTTCCTTCCTCTGCCAGCAGCACCCATCACCAATAGGCGGGTGAACAGTTGACGAAGCTTGGGTGGAAAAACATCGCGCACGCCGGCTTCTACTCTTCCTCCCTTTTCACGGGTGCCGTTATCGTCAGCACCTTTTTTGTCCACAGACGCTCGTTCGGTTTTCCCAACTACCGGTGAAACGTTATAAGGATATTTTCCACCCGGAGAGTGAACAACGGTAGGCAGAGAAAGAGAGTGCGAAGAGTGTGAGAAGGGGAGAAAGATCAAGCTCCAAAAGAGGCAGAGTGCCAGCACCAGTCCTGCTCAGTGTAACAGAACTCCATTAAATTCCTGGGGAAAAAAGCGAAAAAAGTAGCGAAACCGGAGAGAAAAAAATACAGTGGAAGTGAGAGGACTTAACGAGCAGGTCTCAGTTTGCGAGTGTGGAACAGAAAGAGAGCAAAAAATATCAGGCAGCGGCAGCACTGAGGCGCACCGAGCTCGTATAATCAATTGGGTAAGTGCACGTTTCAATATCGTAATATAAAAGTAATTTAATTTAACGGATTTTAATGAATGCCAGTAAAATAGGAGGGAAAATAAAACGGTGGTGCAAGGCATTCAGGCGGTACGATGCAGGACGACGTAGGATATGCAAGGTATGGCGTAAAAAAGGATACCTTGATCAGTGGGTTGGTTGGTGGTTGGTGTTCAATATTGTTTTATTCTGTTGGAGCTTGCTGGGGATGATTTCTTTCAAACAATTTATCAAGGTAGTGTGAAGAGTTGTGTAGTAGATTTCGATGAAACGTCTTATCGATTATGCTTGGTCTGTTTCCTGCGGGAAAGTTATTTAATCTGGTGGATTAAGTATAGTTCTGACTCATACTGCTATTTCTGCAACACAGTTGATCGAAAATTACTTACACATCTTCTGAAATATAAATGTTTGCGAATGGTTTTTGTTCTGATGTCCACAGAGCTCAGGTTATGCGTTGCGCTTCCTCAGTGGGTGCAACGATTTCAGTAACCATCGTTACATGACTTTGAATGTTGTGAAGCAAGTCAATGGAAGTTGGAGAAACATTTTCAACCTCAAAAGATTCTTGACCGAACCGGGAATCGAACCCACCGAACAATCGAGCGATGTACTCTGCTTTACAGACATGGAAAGACCGCATCTCTCATCATGGTGCCTACATTTTTTTCCTTCTCTCCCACTTGGAATGCAACTCGCAAATTAAGACCACCCGGCGTGTGATACGGTCTGAATTCAATTAAATTTTATTTCGATAAACAAATTAAGTGTGATGCTTTTTTAATTCGCAAATTAAAACATCATCGCTGAACGGCACGTGAAGTATTCGATGCAAAAAGAGCAGATACAAGTGAACACACCTTCCCGCTTTGCCGCTAGAATCAAACCAAAGCCAAGGGAGGGGGAAGCTGCAGTATGAAACAATCGAACGAAATTGGCTACTAGTCGAGTGAACTTGTTTTCTCTTCGATCCGATGCGATGTGATGTGAGCAAAGCGGGGTGTGTGAAATGAGAAAAACAAAATAAGTGGAAAATTGGTCTGCGGAATGGAGCGAATAAAAAAAGAAGTGTGGAAAAGAGGTTTCGGGGAATAAGGCGGGAAATTTATATCACTTTTCCACTCGATTACCTTTGAGCATGGAAAACTGATGTATTCGATTTATGTATGCACGTTGTAAAAGTTGCTCGATTTTCTCTCCCCCTCGGTCCGTGACACCACCGGATGGATTGAGGCAAGAATAAATTTCCAGTTTGTTGTTTCGGATCGTTTTCTGTTTTCTTTCTGGTCCACAAGGAAATTATCCGATATGGAGAAGTTTGGAATCACGTTTCTGTGCGGAAGATGGGTTAAGACGGAAGATCATCAGTGAAGTGAATATAAATCATTATTGGAAATCTTTGCTTGAATACATAAATTGCCCTAAAAATTAAAAGATATGTTGGTGAAAATCGTTAGTTTGCAGAAAACGTTTTTTTTTTACAGAGGTTCGAGATTGTGTTTGTTAGTTTTAACCGTACGATGGTTTATTTAAATCAGTTTAGCCCTATCATATTGACCAATGTACAAAACAATCCATAAATCAGACCAAAAGTCCTGTTCTGAATGATTACCGGGGCTGTCTCCAAAATTAATCGAATCTACCCTAATTGCTTATAGATATCGTTCTTGCCCTCATCTCCACTTCCGTTCTGGAATTTCTGTTAATTTTGGTTTCTGGTGACATAGACGATGGAGCTCAGCATTCAAGATCTACTAAGACCGAATTATATATCTACCCCAGCCATCGGTTGATGATGACCAGCAGCTTGGTGTATAAAATCGAAGATTCCATATATGCATTGAAAATTAGGATTTTGATGTGCGTTGACTAATTGGTTTCATCTCCTTATAATACTAAAACTAGCAAAGGCTATTGTTTCAAAAGCAAGGGTCTAACACGTCGCCATCTTTTCTTAGCCAGCATAAAAACGTGAACACATATCAATCTAAGCGGCCTATAGTAACATCCCGAGCAAAGGTTGATATAAAAATACTTTCAAAATTATATCAAATTATTTTTTTTTGAAATCATGTTGATAACATATTCTGATAAGCTATTTTTTAATTTCGGTTGAATTAATATTTTGATATTATTTTTATATCTCTAAAAAATGTAATTTTAAGCAAAATTTGATGTTTTATAAATTGAGCATCCACATTTATCACTGAAATCTAATTTATTTTTATTTTTTTCTTATGAGTCAATCAGGATGCTTGCTGTTTTCTATATGAACATCACAGAGACAATTATGATTTTTACAGTTATATTTTACAAAATTTATTGATATTAATCTACCTGCGAATTGAATCTACGAATCGAAATAACTGTTAGAAATCGATACAACTGATAGATATCGACAGAACTGATTGATATCGGTAAAACTGATTGAAAAATAGGTTTGGTTTTATTTTGAATAGATGAAAACTTATTGATAATTAATTTTTTGATTTTGAAGCTTGATTTGATATAGATTTCAAAATATTCAGATTACTAAATTTGATATCATGATATTAAAATAATAAGTAAATTTGCTTTTTTTTTTGTTTTCCTACCATAGTTATAATAACAAATTGATTGTTTATTTTGCTTATTATTAATGAAATTACTAATATCAAAACGCATACATGAATTTCTAATTGTAATTGTAATTGTTCAGTGTATAGGCTGTGCTAACCGCTAAGTTGGCTTATCTAGGGACTAACCCCCTAGTCTATACACCTATGGCGGTAAGCTCCAACTCGGATTAACTTTTAATACCGTCCCTGTTTGTATGATCTGAAAAATGTTTGCTCAGAATTATGTTGATTAACTCTGATGTCGACATCAAACCAGCCGGACATTCTTGATCGGGATTTAATCCGAGGATAATACCGGTTGGAGCTTACCACCACTACTGTCCTTCCTGTTGCACTCGTCAGCTCATGCGATACTCTAGACACACATGGGTGGTCGTATCCGGGTCCTTCCCTGGCTAGGCTCGTGTCCGTCCAGGTTCTGGTACATTAACTTATCTCTATGCATGGTAATTATACTTTACAACTCACTTTTTGATTATATTGTCGATAATGCTGAAACTATATGAAGGTTAGTGATCAATGTTAGGTGTGTGCTGCGATGGAGCAGTAATTGAAGGAAATGAGGTTCTGATGCAAGCACACACCTTTCACAATTCTTATCCTACTTACCATTTCCGTCCAATATAAATTGGCTGTCTCCAACCAACGTGATCCTTTCTGATTGCTTCTCTCTTCTCTTCTTTTCTTGTTCACGCTTTCTCGCTTTTTTCCTTTCTATTGAGCATCTGGCCGTGTTCCCATTTGGAATCAGGCAGGTAATATTGGTACATGAGAGGAAGAAAGAAATAGAACAAGTTTAGTGTGAGCCGCATGCGTAGGTTAGCCGTTTAGGTCATGGTGTTGTGTTCCCTATTTTAATTGCGTTTATTTCGCTCTCAGATCGCATCACTTTTCCCCTCCCCCCAAACTTTTATGGGTGAAAAAGAGAACCCATATTGGTTACCAAGTCTCGTTCTCGCTAGTGCAATTCAAAAGAAATTAATAACAAACTAATCTCGAACTGGGCTCAAACATATAAAATTTTCTAAGACTGATCATGATTAATATAGTATGAATAATGAGAATTGTATGAAGAAAAGACGATCCAAAAAGAAAGTTCCCTAGCAATAAAACTATTACTCTGTGCTAATCTGAGTTATTTCAAAATGGGAATCCACAAACAAAATACTCAAAAACTATACCCGATCTCAACAAACTGTACCGAAATACCGAACAGCTAAACTATTCGGTAAGATTTTTGTATTTCTATTTAAATGTATCTTTTACTTTATATCGAGCTCTTTTCAATAATTTCAACATGTGAATAATGCAGAACAAGTTTAAAATTGTTCTAGAGCCAAATTGGGTTTGAAAGGAAGGTCAAACTACAACCGAATAGCTCAGCCGCTCTGAACCCTTCAAGCATGAACATTATGTTTTCCCAAGCGGTCCCTCCGCGCTCTGCCTCTGTTAATCCAAAACCCTAAAACTGATTCAAAGATTATAATATAGATACACACTTAGAAATAACTAAACTTACACGTGGCGGAATCCGTCTTTGACATAAAAGATGTGACGTAAACAAACATGTCATGTAATATTAAGTGCTCGACGAAAAGTACGTTTGATTGGGCTATATTTCGCGTCTATTATAACTCAAATTTATGTCAAAATTGACGCTCGTATATGTCACTCTCAGAGCACCTAAATTTACATGATTTTGTAGTATAAAATAAAATATCCACCTGCACTTTATTGTTCATTCAGAAATCATTAGACCCTAACCCACTTACTTGGCCAGACTTCAGCATCAACCGGTGGGCAGTGCACTCCACACTCCCTTGGTTTCACATTCATCTCAAATTTCATACTTTACCCATTGAGTGTTGATTAATCACAATACAAATTTTGACCGAACGCGGACTTGAGGTTACAAGGCTATTAAATAATCTAGGTCCCTCTTAGGATTACACGGGAAAAAATCCGATTCCAGTATCATGAACAAAAAATCATGAAATCAAAAAACTTGCCAACCCTTGAAATCATAACAATGATTCATGATTTCGTTATGGAAATTCATGATTTCATAATGCAGCGGAATCATGACCGCTTCAAGCGTTACCTGAAAAATCGTGTTCACTGCACTACATAGGTATCTCTTATACGCCTTTTGCCTTCCTTCTGATACAAGTATTGATAGTCTAGTGGTCAAAGTATGGGTTTAGTGATCGTAAGGTTCTTGGTTCGAATCCAGTTTGATGATTTATTTTATTTTTTTACATGTTTACTTAAAATAACAATTATATGCAAATGCAAAATAAAACCTGACAAATCATCGTCAATCCCCTTATTCTTTGGCAGGGTCTGACGATGTGAATCTGA